TAGCTGTGGGAGTCGGTGGGCTTGAAATGGATATTGGTTTCTAGGTGGTTGCCCGAGATGGAGACAGAGAGGTCCAGTAAGGGGAGAGAGGTATTAGAGATGGTTCAGGTGAACTTAAGGTTGGGGTGGAAGGTGTTGGTGAAGTGGATGAACTGTTCGAGCTCCGCGTGGGAGCACGAGGCGGCGCCAATACAGTCATCAATGTAACGGAGGAAGAGGTGGGGTTTAGGGCCAGTGTAGGTACGGAAGAGGGATTGTTCCACATAACCTACAAAGAGGCAGGCGTAGCTTGGGCCCATGCGGGTACCCATGGCCACCCCCTTTGTCTGTAGGAAGTGGGAGGAATTGAAAGAGAAGTTGTTGAGGGTGAGGATGAGTTCGGCTAAGCGGATGAGGGTGTCAGTGGAGGGGGACTGGTCAGGCCTGTGGGACAGGAAGAAGCGGACGGCCTTTAGGCCATCTGTATGGGGAATGCAGGTGTATAGGGACTGGACATCCATGGTAAAGATGAGGACGATAGGGTAGGCAGAGGGCATATGAGGTCCCCTGTTCCAACATCAGACTGTTCAAATTGAACAGCACAATGAGCAGAGATACGATTGGGCCAAGAGAGTGTCAACAAAGGCAGAGACCAATGAGCCCAGTTTGCTGAAGCTTCCATTTGGGTTTATGATGGATCAAGACTGTATGGTACAGAAGTGATGAGCAAATAGCAGCTTTTTGGAGGATCAGTGTAGAGCTCAGGAACACAGACAAGGAACTGTAACAAGAGATTGTTCCAAGGCTATAGAACTGTAAAACAATAGACCAAAACAAATCTAAAATACAGTGGAGAAGCTCAATAAACTGATCGAAAAAACAGAAGTAAAAACTGGGCTAAAAAACCCAGGCATTATTAAACATACACTTTCTAGCACAGAGCAGTGACAGACTTAGACAGAGGTTAGTGACAAAGGGTTAATAAATTGATCAAATATCTCATCAAGTCCATAATTATTGATCAGTGTGAATATAGATTCCCCAAAAAAAGAACACCATGACAAGATCTGGGCAATAGCCAGGCCTGGGCTGACCAGTGGCAAGTAACATTCGTGCCATATAAATGCCAGGCTGTGACCATCACCAAAACGAGACAATCTAACCACCATCCATTGACATCCAATAGTGTTACCGTCACTGAATCCCTCACTAACAAACATCCTGTGAGCTATTTTGACCAGAATCTGGACTGGATTAGTCATATAAATACAGAGGCTATTACAGCAAATACAGCTGAGAATATCTATTAGAAACCTCTGTACTGCAGGTGAAAAGAAAAAATATGTAGTGTCCCTCTACCTCTTCTCTCTCTGATTGCTGGAAGGCCACTATTCAAAATCCATGGTTTACTAATTTCTCATTTCTAACCTGTGTGTTGTGCTTTATTTTTCATTGTGTTTTTATAGCAAGTAAACTTATTTTCTCTTCGACTCAAGAAAGCCTGGTTCTATTGGCTCCTTTAAAAACATAAGTACATGGCAAAGGGGTCCACTGGGAAGGTGTCCCTTGTTTTAACTGAACAGAGTTGTGGAGTTTGAGGTTGAACAAAGATCAATGGCCATTCCTCCCTCCCTCCTTGCACAAGATCATAACAAATTGAGAACCCTTGCCTGGGGATCATTCACAATTAGAGTACATGTCAGCGCGTGTGGGAGGGTGCATGTCTGACAGAGTGAGAGAGAGAATGGATGTGCATGACAGATACAATGTGAGCATGTGAGAGAAAATGGATCTGCAACTCTGCATAAGGGCAGGAGAAAGAGTGAGTGAGTGGGAGAGAGTGTGTGTGTGTGTGTGTGAGAGTGAGTGTGTGAGAGAGTGTGTGAGAAAGAGAGAGTGTGTGAAAGGGAGTGTGTAAAAAAGAGTGTGTGTGAGAAAGAAAGAGTGTGTGAAAGAGAAAGAAGTGTGTGTGACAGACAGTGTGTGTGAGAGTGTGTATGACAGAGTGTGCATGTGAGTCTGAGTGTGAGAAAGTGAGTGAGAGAGAGTGCGTGTGTCAGAGGGAGGGAGTGTGAGAGACAGTGTATGAGAGAGTGTGTGTGAGTGTGAGAGTGTGAGAGTGAGTGAGAGTGTGTGAGAGAAAGGAAGAGAGGATATATGTGTGTGTGCAGTGTAGGTGAAAGATTGAGTGCGTGTGAGAGAGAGAGTGAGAGAGAGCTGTGTGCAAGTGAAGGTGGGATTCATGGCCTTATTTAAAAACATTGAATTAAACTGCATCTGAATTTACATTTCCCTCAAGTTATGAAAATGTGTCTCCTTTGTCATTATTGAACGGTCTATCATCCAACACCCTTTGTGCAGATTCCCAGCAGCTGGGTTACGATGATGTATCAGAGTGGGAGAGTAATGACAGTGTTACTGGTACTCACGAGAGAACAGCAAATATGATGAGAGTGACCATCAGACAAACAATGGACAGAGAACAGCCAACGTATGTTATAGCAGAGAGTGCCACCTGGTGTACCTGTTCCAGCTGGTAAAGACAAGAGAAACAGAAAAAACACTTTTAAGTCCAAAATACCAAACTCATATCAACATATCCAATCACGAGCTGTCTTCATCATTGATGAGGGTCTGTTTTAAACCACTGTATCTCTATATAATCCCATGGTCTTTATCTCAAAGAAAGGTAAGGAAGTTCTGCCTGATATCCTGGGCCCATATTTGTCCATTAACTAATATCACTGATCGTTATCGCATGGCTGTTTGTGGGATCTTTCTGTCACAAATTGGCTGTGAAATTTCTGACAGTACACTTGAAGTGTCACCAGACTCGTAACATTAGCTCTGCTTTCTTCCAACAGATTCTGCTAGACCTGCTGTGTTTCTCCAGCAGTTTCTGTTTTTGTTTCACTTTCAAAGTGCTTAGGGATGCTCCGTGGTTGTGAGTGGCTCTCTGTTACATAAATATAAGTTTCTTTGTCTTTTTAGAAGACGTGCAGATCCTGGGTTCAGGCTCCAACTTCACTCTATGACCTTCACCATCAGCAGGCAATACATTTACTGACACAGGACATTCCCTGGTGGCTGAGCAGTGGAACTCAGGTCAGTTTGTATTTATTCATTGAAGTATCTTCACAAACCCTCGCTTCAAAACGTGATACAAATCACACATCAGCAGAATTCAATGCCAATTTTCACACCCACGGTTTACTGTGCCCATTCCCCAAGGACTGGAAACACAATACACAAAAACACTTCAATGCTGTCAGGAGT